AAAAAAAAAAAAAAAAAAAATGTATATAGAATTGCGTGAAACAGTGAAAAATATGGTTTTTAGAAAGAATGACTTCTGATAATTTCATTCAATTTTTTCGCCGGATGTTGTACAACAGAAGTTGAACGAAACATAATTTACCTGTAGTTAGATAAGTTTGGTTGTTGTTATGTTTATAGATTATCCTCTTTTAAGTGCAGGGTATTTATTTTCGTACACAGTTTAGAAATATCAAAGCTTTGTAATTTTTGTCTTTCATTCTGTGCTAACTTTCACATCAAAATTTTGTTTCGAGCTGGACTGCATCCATCCTCACAAAATTTTTGGAAGTAATTGACTTCTGTAATTGAGATATTTTGTTATTCAGTGTACTCAAACTTTACTTGCGGTAAAGTAATGAAAAATTCGTTAAGATATTTATTTATTGTGTCGAATTTTGTTCTTTCTTTTGTGCTATATGTGTAAGTATATAATTTATAAAGTTACTCATAGTTATTTGTCTGTTTCTGATTAAGAAAACCCGTTCATTAATACTTTAGCTCATCAGACTTCACGCAAATTTTTTAATGGTTTCTTTAGTAAAAAATGATTTTAGTTTAAAGTGAGCTTAACTTGCTTAAATTCTTAAGCATCTCTTGCATTGTCAAAGTCTAAACTTTATAATTATTGAGGCATTGGAAGCACTAGCGATTTTTCCTTATATTTAATGTCTTAAATTCTGTGCAGGAACGATACGATGAGACTGTCATCAACTAAGAATTTAGTTCGGTTGGTTGACAGTAAGCCTCGGCTAGTCACTTTTTTGTCATGTCGGGGGCAACAAACAGAAGTACCAAAAAAACTTGAAGTGTTCATCAATGACAGGAAGGTGCTTGTCGATCCAGGTACCACGATATTGCAAGTGAGAGCTCATCTCTGCTTTGATTAAGTTTATTTCAACAAACCTATCTGTCTCACCTTCAGACATTCTTGGGATGAGCGTAATTGCAATGCAACGAATTATGAACGTAATATATATATTTGAACTTATGTGTTCATCATATGTCCGTTTAAAAAATTCAAATCCAGGCTGCATCATGTCTTAACATTGATATTCCACGATTTTGCTATCACGATCGTCTTTCAATAGCTGGGAATTGCCGCATGTGTTTAGTCGAAGTTGAAAAACAGTGGAAAGTAAGCATTTAAGGAGAAAATTTAAGGCAGAAATGCCTTTTTTGGGGGGTTTTAAGGAATGAAAAGTTCTAATGTATGAAATTATACCTTTTTTACAATTTAGCCTGTAGCATCATGTGCGATGCCTGTAATGAATGGCATGAGAGTACAGACTAATTCGCCGATGGCAAAGAAAGCTCGTGAAGGGGTAATGGAGTTTCTGCTTCTGAATCATCCACTTGATTGCCCAATTTGCGATCAGGTTTGTTTATTGTGAATAGCAAATTATTGGTTTTTTTCGTTCCAATTTTTTAGTTACTTGTATTCACACTTACCAAAATATAATTCACTTTAACTTTTATTGGTATAGCTTTATGCAGTTTATTTGGAAAACTTGTTACCACCTTTCTAATCATGTGCCCAAATAACATAATAAATCACTGAAGTCATTGTGCTTGAAAGTACTTCAAAAGTTATTTTCTCTATGAAGTATTGCATTGTTGTTTAGGGAGGTGAATGTGATTTACAAGATCAATCCATGGCATTTGGCTCAGACAGAAGCCGCTTGCAAATTGTACATGATGGCAAAAGGTTTTTCATGAAACTTTTCTGATTCAAAAATTTATTCTCCATTTTTTCGAAATATTACTACCTTTTAAAATATATTTCAATTTTATACTAAAAAAGGATATTTGCTGAGAAAAAATTTATCACTGTTGTCTTTTTATAGAGCAGTCGAAAATAAATACATTGGACCGTTGATTAAAACGGTAATGACACGATGTATTCACTGTACGCGATGTGTTCGATTCGCCAATGAAATCGCTGGTATTTCAGATTTTGGTACTACTGGTCGAGGAACTGATATGGAGGTTAAACTGCTCGTGTTTGCTAGTAACATTTTACGATCTATGTATTACTAAGTAAAGACATTAGTATGCGTCATTATTAACTAAGCTTCTAGGAACAGGGATTCCTGTAACGATGAAAATGTCTCCCAATATCATTTTCAGTACCGAACAACTGATTTATTTCAGATTGGAACCTATGTTGAAAAGTTATTTGCAACAGAGTTATCAGGCAACGTTATTGATATTTGTCCAGTTGGTGCTCTTATCAATAAACCATACAGGCAAATAATTCTTTATTACAGAATACTGTAGAACATTTTATCTTCAATTTTAAATTTCATCTGATACTATTTTGAAGTCAGTTGATTTTCAGATTACCTTTTTTTTCTAGTTTGTTTTTTAGTTTTTCTGCAAGACCTTGGGAGCTGCGAAAAGTTGAAAGTATTGATGTAATGGACGCCATTGGTTCGAACATCGTCATTGCACATCGTACTGGAGAATTGTTTCGAATCACTCCAAAATTATGTGAGGTATGAAAACTATGATATTAATGCAATTTTATTGAAAAAAAAAATGATATTAATGCAATTTATCCAATTTAAATTTAATTTTAAAGGATGTAAATGAAGAATGGATTAGTGACAAGACACGTTTTGTTGTGGACGGTTTGAAACGGCAACGACTTGGACAGCCAATGTTGAGAGTACAAAGTGGTTCTTTTGAGTAAGTCAAAATAGTTTTTAATATAGCGTGTGTTTTCTGCATCTTAGAAAAATTGCACGAGTTAAAGATTAAAAATTCTTCCTTTCGTTCAGCAATGCTAGAATTCCAAATCTTGAGGAAGTTCTATATGCTTACCACATAATTATTGCTTAAGTAAAAAATATATATAGTTAGTGATCGTGATTGAAACATACTCTATTTTTTGACTTGCTTTTGCTTTTCTATCTTTCAACTTTTCTGCAGACCATGCAGTTGGGAAGAAGCCTTGTTTGCTGTTGCATCAAAATTGCGCTCAACTCCTCCGGATCAAATGGCTGCATTAGTTGGTGATCTGTGTGATACAGGTTCGGAGTTTCTGCAATAAAGTTCTTGCAAAAACGAAAATTCCTACCATTGCATCTACAGCTTTTTGTTCTTTACATTGGTTGTATTTGTAAACTTCTAATATTTAGAATCATTAGTAGCTTTGAAAGATCTCATGAATCGGTTTGATAGTGAACTGGTGTGTACGGAAGAATACTTTCCCGATGGCAGTGGCGGTACAGATCTTCGGTGAGTTTTTTTCAGTGATTGCTTTTCTAGCAGTTTCGTGTATGAATTTAATTGCTTTTGCTCTTTTATTTCGAAATATTAAAAAAGCAGAGACAGTACTTGTAAACGTATTTCAGATGCAATTATGTCATGAATGATAAACTTGTTGGCGTGGAAAAAGCGGATGTTTTACTATTAGTCGGTACTAATCCGCGGTTTGAGGCTGCAGTTTTTAATGCTCGTATACGTAAAAGGTAAAATTGTAGTGATTGTATTATGACTCTTCTAAATTTTTGTTTTTAATTCAAATTCTGCTCTTATAATGTCATCTTACATTAAAAAATTGAATTCATGTTCTCAGTGGAGTGTTATTCAGAATAGAAATATATTAAAAAGCAGAGTAGTGCAGTCATTTCACTTTTTCCAGGTTAATTTTCCATCTGTAGATAGTAAGGAAGTGAAGATTCAGTTGTGCTAGCTTATCCTACATAAAATCTTTAACACTCAGCAAAGAATTTTGTAGAGATTAATGTGGAAGCGTGGCGAGTTTCTACCTTTAGACAATAACTTTATGCTTATTTTAGTTTCTTTTCAGTTTTCGACACACCGATATTGAAATTGGTGTCATTGGCGAGAGAATTGATCTGAAATATGAATATGAGTATTTGGGTAATAATGGCAGGGCAGTGGATGATATAGTTAGTGGCAAAGGAAAATTCGCTAAAGTAAATCATTTTAAATTTTTGCGATGAAGATAGAAGTTCTCATGTCAAGTCGTTCGAGCTCTTCAATCGTATTTATTATTGTACTTTATTAATTAGTCAGATAATTGAAAAATTGCTTCAGCAATTGTTAGAAGCAAAACGACCTATGATCGTTGTTGGTTCAGGAGCGTTACAAGAAAAACATGGCTCTGCTTTACTTGGGAAGATTCAGATTTTTGCTGAAAAGCTAAGAAATAAAGTCGGAACTTCTGCAGGTGGATTTTTCAAATTTAGAAGTTATATTAAAAAATGATACAAGTTATGAAGTTTTTGCTACAAGATTCCATTTTTTACATAAGTCCGCAAAAGTTCGTATTATCTACGATGATAGCTAAAATATTTGCTTGAAGGAAGTTGATACGGAAATTCTGTTCATTTTTTGCCATGGATTTTTAGACATGAAAATTGTGAATGTTTTGCAACGAAATGCTTCACAAGTTGGTGCTTTGGATATTGGATATAAGGTATGTGGTAAGAAGTTATGATTATAGTTGCTCTTTTTTTATTTGCTAGCAAGTAATTTTTTTCTATTCTTTTGTACTTATTTTGCAAAAAGGTGATTTGTTGTTACATTTTATTGCTAGGAACATTTCTGCTACATTTGAGGGACTTTCAGGCAGGTGTTGAATGGATTCAGAATTCTGTCAAGCCCATCAAGTTTTTATTTATGTTTGGAGCTGATGGTGGTTCAATAAAAAAAGAAAATTTAGCATCCGATGCCTTTGTCGTTTATCAAGGTTAGTTGGAAGACAGGATAATAGTGAAAAAAGAAATGAATATCACTTTTTAAAATAATTTAATACAGAAATGAGACTTTAAGGACATCATGGTGATATTGGAGTTGAACTAGCGAATTTGATATTACCAGGTGCTGCCTATACCGAAAAAGATGGGACATATGTTAACACAGAAGGTCGCGCGCAAAGAGTTTGTAATTTAAAAATTTCTTTTCCATCTTGAAATTAGTTTAAAACATCTGACTTAATAATTACTTTCATATGAAAAGGTCAGTGTAGTTTCTGGGCAAATGTAGTCATGTTCGCAATGCGTATAAAAAATGTTATATTTTATTTATTGAAATAAATTTTCATTTTTATTCTTTTTAAGTTTAGTATTATTTTGCGCTTGTTTTAAAAATAGTTGAAATTAAAGCGCAGCTTTAGTTAACACTGCATTAACAGTTGCTTCAAACTAGCTATTTTTTTTAGAGTTTATATTCATTATCTCATTTTTTTCCTTCTATGTGAAGCATTTGTGGCAACTAAAAGTTCTTGCAAAAATACTTTCATTTGAAGAATAAGGTGCAGCTTCTTTTTCTTAATAGATGTCATGATGAAAAAGAGCTTAATTTTCTGCTTAAATTAAACAAACATTCATCATTCATCAGAGCAGGAAAATAAACTTTTCTATATTGTGAACTCATGCTATTTCATTTAGAATCACATATATTTTTTGGTGCTCTATTTATTTTAGCAGATTCTTCATAGTGTTATACTTGATATTGCTGTTTTGTAGAGATTTTATGATACCATATCGTTTTTATATATGAATTAATAGTGAATCGTGAGTTAAAACCGAATTATAAACTCGTGACATATCAAATTAAATTTTAACCAGTCTGTAGGCATATGCTGCAATAACTATCCCAGGAGATGCAAGAAATGACTGGAAAATAATACGAGCTATCAGTGAAGTTGCTGGCAAAGTTTTGCCTTATAATGATCTTGATCAGCTGAGAGCTAGAATGGCTGAGGTTGTTTTTTTTTTTAAATGATTTTTATCGTGAGCTGTGCTAGAAATTTCGTGATTATATTTTTTCAGATTAGTAAATATGATTTTCTGATCGTATTTTTCTGGTTTTGTATGGACTTTGTCTGATACTGGGATAAATTCCAGATCGCTCCTCATCTCTTGCGCTGTGGTAAAGTTGAAGAATGTACATTTCAAGAACAGGCAGCGTTATTAGCGGAGGTTTCTATTTCGAAGTTTTTAAAAATTGCGTTTTATCTGATTTGTATGTCTTCCATAGATTAGCATCACATATGAGTCGTCGCTGCTGCTAGGAAGCTGTAAAATGAAAGTATATTGATATGAATTCAAGGTCCCAGGTTTAACTTGCAAACAAAGCTTTCGATTAGGTGTGAAAATTATAGCTTAACAAGAATTCTTTTGTATTGAGGATTATTCAAGCTAATCAGAAACTTTATTTAAAAAAATTAAATCGAATTAAATGCAATTTCTGACTTTCGAAGTTTGAAATTGTCCTTTGTAAATCATGAAAACAAATTTCAGTCTGGTAATACTGACGTGTTGCTGAAGCCCAACTTGATTGAATTGGGTGATTTTTGGATGACGAATTCAATATGTCGTGCATCAAAAACAATGGCTGAATGTATTCGTGCTTATAAACGCTACAAGCAAGATCCGTATACGGAAGAGAAATCTATATCTGTTTAATGTAATTTGAATTGCATCAAAATTTTTTGCTTTTTTAGTTTAGCATTGATGAAAGTATTCAAAATTACCACTGAAATAGGTAAATTATGCAGATAAACTTGAGTTCCAATACGTTTTGCGACTGCAACCTACAGTTAATTTTTTTTTAAATTGTCAAGCTAGTAAAACAAAAAGTCTTTCAAAAAGATTGTTTAAACCCTTGATTTGTAATTACGAAAATTCATGTATAACAAATAAGGTTGTTCACATCTGTAGTGGATTTTTTGCGGCGTGGTCTCTTTTTAATTTGAAGGTAAAATTATAGAATAATTTCAGAAATTGTAGCGATTGTCGGTGTTTTTTTCGTTGTAGTGTTGCTTTCAGTAGTTTCTTTTCACAAAGAATTAACAAAAAATCAAATTCAGAAATTTTTGAAAATATAATCGCTGCAGATTTCAATGAAAATTCTGATTATGTATTATATGATAGGGTATTATATGATAGGTGTATAATTTGTGAAATATTTGTAGATCTTGAAGTGAATGCTGACTTCTAATTTTTTGGATACTAACATGGAATTGATCTTGGAAATTCGATTGTAAATGCATAAATTAGAAATTCATTATTGCAAATACATCATCCTGCAAAATATTAATTAATGTTATTTTTTAGTAGCATTAATTACGAAAAAATCGTTAAGTGAGTTATTAAAGGACGTGATTGATTTGTGCTAAGTCAGAAATCAATCTTACATTTGGTACATAAATAAACATAAGTAAGGTAACTGTAGAGGCATAATTAACCTTATCTATTTTACTCTGCATTTTTATTTTCGGTTGAAAGGGAACATTTTTAATAGGGAACATACCAGTGAGTTTTAATCGCCTTCTAAGCAAGGCTCGTTTTTCTTCTCGAATGTTTCGTTCCTGCTCTTCTCGGAAATGTTTTTCCGTATTCGATAATGACTCATTCTAAAATTTTTCGAAGAATAGTTAGAAAATGAACTTGAAAGTTTGGTGTAATATTTAGCTTATCAAAATATTTGTAGAAAAGTCCCGCAGGTATTGTTGGGAATCCAATTTTTAGAATTATTCTATTACTGCAAATTATCAGAGAATTGTTCTGAAATGTTTTTTTCATCTGCTTTAGTACAAAAAAGCTAACTTTTATTCGTTACTTATATTTTTACATCATTTGTTGATGTATAGAATTAAGTATGATGTGCAGATTTAATTATAATCATTCTATACTGCTCTATCTAAAGAATATAAATTGTTTTTTTCTTCAATAACTATCGAGAAATGTTGATAAATTATAAAATTCATTCGCGACAAAAAAAAAACCGTTGTTTTTCGGACGACTACAAATGCTCGTTTTCGTTTATCAGTACCAATCGGTCTAGAATATTTGAGAAGTGCGGAAAGGCGTGCTGATGGTTTAAGTGATAATTCTATCATAAGAATAACTTGGGCCCACTAAAATTCAAAATTTTACAAGATTGCAAACATTTTTTTATTTTAACTTTTTTGTAAAACTCTTCCAAAAGCTTATTATTCATATAAATAAGGTCATATATGAACCAATTAATTAAGTCGTTTAATTAAATTGTAATTTCTTGTTAAAAAATTTTTATTGGATATTTTTTATTTGATTTAACAACTATGTTTTAGAATGTATCAACCTGTCGTTTCCATTCAGTTTGCGTTCGAGAAATCAAATCATACGTTCGTTCCATCATAGCAATCAGTAGATTCAGTTGCATAACACTCACGAATAATTGGTAGATAGTAAACATAGCCTTCACATAAATTTGTTAGTTATGCAAAAATTTATGTAGATATGAATTAGTTAAGAATTTAGCGAAAAATGGTTTAAGCCCAATCTCTAAACCGATTTGCTTATTTATTTATTCGTTTATTTTATTTTATTATTTATTTATTTATTTTTATTTATTTATTTATTTTTTGGTCATCATTAATAGTGACATAATTATGCGTATTTTTTAGTATCTAATTATTTATAAGTGATTTTGGATGTCTTTGATCAGCTGATTACAATTCTTTGCTAATTACAGAAATTACCAAATTTTTGTTGTTGAAGTGGCATTTTCATTTTTGTAATTGTTTATCAAAAAAATTTTTTTCTCGTAAATTCATAGTTTTTGGGTATTATAAAGTTTCTGTCGAACACGTATCTAAGCAACTGAATTATTTGTAATTCTATAATGAATAAAAAAGCAAGCACAATGGTCAATATTTCGCCAATGGTCAATATTTCGATATTAATAGTGCAATGCGAGATTTACTAACCTTCCCAATATATACCATCATCTTTCTTTCACATAAATTGACCATTGTCCGGTAAAAAACCATAAACTCCCCAATAGTCATAATAAAAATTCGTAAAGTTGCTTCCATTGGATGGTCCATTATGTGAGTAGCGTTTGACATATTAATTACATCATTTTTAGCTTTCTGACGTGCACATGATAGAAATATGATGTAAAATGCTATAATATATTGCTAAGTATTTGTGATGTTTGATTTGAAAGTGACCAGTAAACTTTAATAAAATTAGAAGAATGACGTAAGTAGAAGGTAAGAAGCAATTTTGAAGAGATGAAAGTGTCACTATGTTAGAAATTAGAAAATTGCTAGCAAATTATTCAAACAAAACTTTCAAAGATCTTTCTGAAATATAAATTTTAAACTTATATATGAGTTTTATTCAAAAAATACCTAGTAATGAAGGGAGAAACTAAGTATATTTTTAAAAAAGTACTTTTTTGTATTTCCTTATAAGTTAAGGAATTCAAGTAGTACTGGTTTAGAATTAAGAAACTTACATTGTGAGAAACCGATTAAAAAAATTGAATAAATGAGTAAAAATCGGCTGAGGTCACGTGATAGTATTGTGTATATCATTAAAACAAACGGTCCAATAAATTTGACAGCTCTAAAGTTATTATTGATTGCCTTGAATAATTTTTTGGTATTTCTTAGCCACAGATAATTTATTAGAATAATTTTTAGCTACAACGTTTGCAAATTTATCTATTTGATCACTAAAATTACAAGTAAATACAAAAGTTACCTTGAATAAAATAAAAAATGTACGCCAGTGAATAGAACGATAAGAAGAGTGAGTGCATTGTCAAAAAAGAGCATCATTGGTGTGAAAGGGCACAAAATACGAAATGGTATTACCAAAATAATCAAAATAAATGATATTTTGTAAGCAATTTTCGCGGGAAACGATTTCTGAAAAGTATTTTTCTGAAATTTAATCTAAATAATTAATAATAAATTAAATTAGTTATTCTTATAGCAAGTTTTTTTTTTATTTTTACTTTTTATAAATGTTCTTATTTTCATTTATTAAAATATCTGATAATAAAAAGATTCAGAAGACACATTTATGAATAATTTCTTCAGTATATCTTATTATGATTGATTGCAATAGTATGTAATGAAAACTTTCCACGGAAGGGTTTATTTTTTATGAATTGAAAATGGCAGACTAGAAGTTAAATACGGAAAGATTCTTATAAGTATACCATACCAGTACTTGCCACCATCGTTTTTTTCCGATACTGTGAATATCCATTACATCGTCAGCAATTTGAAATATAGTCATGACAAGTATCAGAAGTTCAGCAGTTAAACGAATATAAAATAAAATGATAATTTTAGAAATCAAATAAAAACATTACTATAGTAGTACAGTATACTATGATAATATTGTATGAAATATATAAATTTAAATTTATTAAATTTTTTTTCAGATCAAAAATATAATTCAAAATTTAAACTTTGTAATTTGGAGAAAATGCATTGCAAATTAAATATTGAAAATAGATTTTGCATGTTACTACTTTTAAACTATTAGTTAATTTATTCATTTTTTCATCAAATTTTAACTTTTTTGAAAGGTTATTTTAAAAATAATAAAAAAATATCACATTTTGTTGCCATCCTTGCCCGAAATACCACCAGAGATGACAAGATTCATCAGAAAATAGTGATTCCCCTGTAAAAATACAAAAATTACAAAAATATTATAATTTCGATTATGTTTTTTCGCCTGTTTCAAACGCATTGCATATCGAAAATATTAGAATTACATTTGTTATATTAATCATAAATATTGTTAATTATCTTCAAGAAGCATTTTGTTCATATTTTTATGTTTTTTGTCTTTTTGGATAAAATTTTCCAGTGAATTTTACATAAATCTTAAAAAATACGAAAAACTAGACACTAAAACTTTTTATACAGAATCACAATTTTTTATGTAAATGAAAAATCGTGATTCCGTATCTTTTATATAGTGCATAAATTTTCAATGTAGCATATATGAATAAATTTTGATTTGTAGAATCTTCACGTATTGAGGTAGCCAGTTTCTGAATGAAATTGATAAGTATTAATTTTTTGACTTTTATGTTATCACAAAATTTGATAGTATTTATTATTAAGAAAACTAACATAATTGTATCAAAGTTTGATTATAATCAGTTATATCAGCAACTACGAAACCTGTATCACGTATTACACTGTGATTATATTCGCATAAAAAATCATGATTTTCGCAGATTGTACTGCTCTCAAAGTTATTATCAGTAATAACCTAAAATTTCAAAAAATAAATTTTCAGCTCAAAAATGTATATCTCAAAATTTTTTCAAATTTACAAATGATAAAAATTTTTAAGCAATCACAAAATTTTAAACGATCTCTATGACTGATAAATTTGAAATTAGATTAGCTATTGTATGAATTTATTTTTATTTGAAATCTACTGATTCGAAGCAAATATCAAAAAATGTTGTAATTGAATAATTATATTTCAAAATTGAATACAAGAGGGAAAATTAAATTTTTTAAAGGTACTGTAAAGATCATTTTTGATAAAATAAATCGAAAATAATTATAATTATTACTTTAGTTGTCATCGAGAATGGTCGGCACATAAATGCTGTAAAAATACAAATATAAAAGAATAAATAGCAACCAAACGAAGTCGCAAGTCTAAAAATGTTTATTATAATATATAAATGTCACAAATTAATAATATTAAATAATGAATAACTCATTAATTTATTTTGCAAATATTTGAAATTACTGTTTTATAAATATTATTTGATAGTAAATATGCTTGTACTGAATGAATAATTAGTCATGTTATAGTCGACTTTATTACATTACAATCAGTATCAATAATCAATTTAAAAAGGACATAAGTTAAAAATAATTTAAACTTAAAAACAGTTTTTAAAAGGTGTTAATTATGATTCATACTAATATTAATCAAAAATTTGAAGCATTTAGTAAATGTTTAATACACAAATTGCACAATATAAAAGCTCGAGATTAAAAATTCAAATATAAAACTCGAATCTTATATAACTAAAAATGCTTTTTCTTACAGTCAGAATGTTAGGCATTACTAGATAAAACAGTTTACTTCTGAAAGGCAATTGTATTAATTAATTAATTAATTAAACAATAAGGTTATTATTATGATGACCTTACTCGCCCAAATGCTTCCCATTTTGCTTGTAAAAGATCAGTTACCAAGCCATCAAGAAGTTGCAAATGTTTAGTTGTTTCCTAAATTAAAACACGTACTTATATACGTAAAATCTAATTTGTACATTTTTAATAAAGTATTAAGATATATTTACCCCGTAAACGATCAATGATAAAGCACTATCTTCGTTAAGTTCTCCAGTTTCTTGATTAATAGTGTCTAATTCTGCCAGTGGATAGGCATAGCTACTCACATCGCCGTATATCCATAAAACATCTGCTTCTAATTTTAGAATTTGCTCAAACATCTGTAAAATTAACTTTAATAATTTATTTTTACGAGATTTTATAGTAAACTTGTCTTTAAGATTTTTCATTTACTGTAAAGCAAAAATAAAAATAGAAAATATAATATTAAAAGCTCTTAGGTTCAAAACTTAGACTTACATATTAACTGATATTCAAAAACTTTCTAACTGGAAGCTTAAATTGTAGCTAAATTAAAAAGTGAATATGTAATTTTCGATGGTTTTAACTAATAAATAAAAACATAAATTTGATAAAGCTAAAACTAAGACTACTTCTAACTTTTCAATTTGTATAAACGTTTGTTGAAATTTATTTGCAAAAGTTTTTACTAATTGCAAATGACATTACTGAATTTTTTTAATTGCACATGACAAGTTTTATTTTATTTTTAATTCAACAGTTATTTTTTTAAATTTTAAATTCGACAATTATTTTATAAATTTCAAGTTCAACAGTTATTTTTAAAATTTACTTCTTTTTTTCCCAAGTGAGCTGCTAATGTCAGTGGTGTTAAATTTTGATTATTCATTACTTGCAGTTTAGCACCTGTATCATAACACAGCTTCAACATATCCTAAAATTAGCAAAGAAGAAAGTGGAAATTATATTGACATTAATAATTGATAATGATTAGAAATTAATCAAAACTAATTATAATTTATGATAATTTTAATTTAATTATAATTGATGATAAAAATCATGAGAAAAATTTAATAAAACTTTTAAGAATAGTAAATTTAACAAACCATCGATACTAAGCTTACAATGAACAATTTCAAAAAAATTCATTTACATATATATTACAAATTCTTTTGAATGAAGTGAAGAAAGAAATAATATAGAGTGAATGCTTACAAGTTGGTCGTGGATTACAGTAAGATGAAGGACAGTGTTACCATTTGTATCCTTCTGATTTGGATCAGCATGATTTGCTAACAATATACGGTAACAGTCATTTTGGTTAATGCAAGCAGCAAATGATAACGGATATTCGCCAAAATACATTCGACTATAAAAATCATCAATTTCTTGAAAATCTGATAGTTATGATAAATTTAGTTATATCGAAAAGAAGTAAATCCAATGTTCATCTAACATGAATATTTTTAATATTACTACGAATAACTCAACTTAAATCACACAAATCATTTAATAACTTTATGACTTCATGAAATGATTTGAACTGTTGGCAGTATATTTTGAAGAATTTTGAAGCATTAGCTCACTATATTCAGCTTAATTCATAATTATAGAATCTGTGTATAGTATTAATCAGTGTTGTGAACTTTAACCTTTTATTTTGAATAAGAATGAGCTTATTTGTTGTAAGATTATTAAATTGAAGTTATTTTTCTGATTTATTATTATTATTTTTATAATAAATTAATCACAAACGAATTATAGGTAGTTTTCAAATTCATTTCGACGAATTCGTGCTCCAAAGAATCAGTACGGCTGGCTTTCTGGTCATCAGGACAAAAAGATGCTCCATAACAACGTTGATTAGAATCAGCACCATGTTGAAGCAAAAATAATACCATTGCAGGATCTTCATTTATAATTGCTTGATGCAGCGGAGAAAGTCCTATGTTCAGCTTTTATCTCACATCATATTTTGCTTTTATTTTTTAATTTCTCATTAATTAGTATTAATGAAGGGCAAATATATACCTTATAACAATATAATTGCTTACGGTATATTCTAATTTTAAAAATTATACTTTACGATAAGTAAGAAATATCCTTTCAATACAAAAAAATCAAGGTATAATTCAGTTTTTACTTTCTACTACTGTGTGTTGCATTTGATCAAAATTTCTGAAGCTCAGTATTAATTATAGATTAGATAATAGTTTAATAATTTGAATACCCTGAATAGTAAACTAATAAATTTTTTGAAAAAAAATTTATTAGTTGAAAAAAATTATTATCTGATTATTATTACTGATTAAATTTTATAATTTTTGACATAATTTCATTATTGTTGTTCAGTCATAATTGACTAAGTTCAGTTTTTAATACTAATTTTTTAATACTTTTAGGTTTAATTTGAACTTCTGTCATCTTAAATTAATAATAAAATTTCTATGCTTGAGATTATTAATCACCGTAGTAATCTTCGCTAATAAATATATCGTTGACAAGCTTTGGATAAGCTTTAATTAATTTGATTGCAAGTTGATTATGAATTGCTGTTCCTTGTAAAAGGCAAATTCCAACAAGATTTTCGCCCATTAATCCACGTTCTTCCAATTTCCACGTTACTTCACGATACTTAGAATCACCCTTTCCTCCTCTTCCGCCTCCTTCTAATAATTTCAAAGCTAAAAAAAATTTTTTTTTTAGCTAAACTGTGCACTTAGTCTGAATTAAAATAATTAAATTTAGAATAATTAAATTTTTTGCACAAATTTTTTTGTTTTTCACTTTTTTTACTAGACAAATTTTTATTGCGTGGTATATTTTTAAATTTTTAAAAAGTGATTTTTTACGCAAAATAAAAACAGAGCAGTGTATAAAGACCAAAAGCATTCTTTGCTTTCCACCTCGCACCAATAGCATTGTTAAAAATGAAATTTTTGATTTTCATTTAAAATTTTTATTCTAAGTTTTTTATGGTATATAATTGATACCTTTTTTCAAATCACCTTGATTTTCACCTTCTTGTTGAAATTCATCGAGAATATTTGGACCACTTTTACCTTTACCTTTTTTTCGTTTTAATGCACTAAGCATTGCATTTCGTTCTTTATTGCGAATTTTTACTAATTCCGCAACGGATACCATTTTACCCTTACCAGAATTGTACATAAAATCTTTCAGCTGAAAGTTATTAGATGAAAAATAACTGAATCTCAAGAAGTTCTGATAACAAAAATACATACAATTTGTTACCCTAAGAAATGTTATAAATATTTATTGGAAGTATTTTTGGATAAAAAACTCGCAGCGACCATTTTGATTACTTCAAGTATATGAACAAAAATAAACGGCAAATCTTTATTTATTTCAATAATTATTAACATGTGATACCAATTTGAATGTTAATAAATCACAATTTCTTACAGTTATAATATTTATTAGATTCAGTATCTTAATTTTATTTAAAATAATGCAATTGCTAATTTAACATCACAATGTAGAGTGCAAGTCATTATTTTTGCTTGATATATCTGCTAATCACTGCAAAATTAAGATTCAGAAACCTTAGTTTCAATAAATTCGTCAATAATTGATGAATCACCAGTATGTTTCATATATCTCATCCATGGTATCAAATCTCCACCACCGTGAACGTCTACTAAATCATAAAGTTTTGGTCTCGACTCTGAGATTTTTTGCTTCCGTAACACATCGTCAACGCCTTCCGATGACTTTGTATTTCCCATTTATATCTTAACAAAATATCTCTAAATTTCTAATATCTATGGATTTCTGATAGATTTGCAAAATTAATAGCAACAATTGTCAATAAAACAACTATTTCTTTGGTATAA